TCTGTCCCAGCCAAAACCAGGACAGCCTCCTACAGTTCTCACTTTTACTCTTCTGATTCTCTCCCCCATCCCATTGTGGGGAGGAGTGAGCAAGCGGCTGCATGGTGCTTAGTCACCAGCCGGGACATGGGGGATGGTAATTAATTAATATAATAGGTTACCTTGGTCATGGAGGTTAAACATTCCATTTAAATGCAGGATTTTAAAGGAAAACCAGTTACTGATGAATACAAAAGCATTGCTCAGTTTTCAGAAAATGTTATGCTCCCTTACCCAAAAAGACTCTCCCCAACTCTTTTCTCTTGGGTATCGAAACACTGAAGCACATGCGATTACTTGTCCTGTATGGTGGAAATGTTTTTCCTGACTATCACCAATTAAAAACTTGTATTTAGTCTTTAAGTATGTACGTTCCTTTTGTAGTCAGCAGAAAGAAAAGAGAAACTACAAAGCATAATCCATCCTCTCTTAAAACAGACCACTGAGATAGGTAGGATGAATCACGCCCCAGAGGTCCCATCCTGCCCTGGACGGTTGGTGCAGCATCACCTCCACAGTCATCACCCTCCTTTGTCTTTCAGCTCCCGGAGGAGTGTCGCTGGTTGTCCCACAACCCAACATCAACGCAACAGTGGCACAGAACATCCTCCTCTCGGTTGAATACTCTTGCAGAGGCATCGCCACCGTTGAGTGGAAGCATGTGTCGAGCTGGGGCACCACCAAAATTGTTGAGTGGAAAAGTGGAAATTATGTCAACATATCCACGGTCTACAAGGACAGAGTGACTACTTTTGAAAATGGCTCTATACAGCTTCTGAACGTGGGCATGAGAGATGCTGGCTACTATTTTATCACTGTAACGGAGGAGTATGGAACCAACACCTACGGCACCATCATAGTCAACGTTTATGGTACAAACCAGATGGGAGTTCTTGGCTTTACCCTGTGTTTAAACATTAATCTGCTCATAATCAATTTTATAATGTTATTTTTTTTTCTGTCCTTCCTGCAGAGATTATCTATGAAGATTTACATTTTGTAGCAGTTCTCTTTACATTTCTCGCTGCAGTATCTGCCGTTCTGATCTGCTTCATGTGGCTGTGTAATAAATCTCTGCATCTATTTCAGAAGAAGACAGCACACAAACTAACAGGTAACCCTCTAAGAATGCAGTCAAGGTATAGGGTTTTCAAGTCTGAATTTTGAGCCTAAAATTCACTTGTGGTTTGAGCCATAAAGGTGCTAAGCAGGGACACTGAGAAACAAGACTGGAAGGGCTCAGTTCAGTTATCCTGTTCAACTCTTTACCAGCTGAGGCAACTGAATTAGTTACAGAACGACCCACAGGACACCTACCTTACACATTTTACACCAGAAACCACAAAACAGTTCACAACATTGATAACTGCAAATCTTAGGGAGAAAAGGCCAGAGTTGCAGTAACCCCACATCAGAGGGCAGGAGGCAAAGTCAAGAGCATCAGCAACGCTCCCAGGGTCTGCACCAGAAGGGTATCTCCTAGGGAAAAATAGTCAAATGGCCCTTGGGAGTAGCCCCCACCTCACTTCATGAAGGACTGCACGTCTTCTTCTCTTCTCAGCCCCCCCCCTTCATCTGCCCTCACGTTTGATCCAGTTGTGGACTTCAGCAAAGGCTGACTAGTATCAAAAGCAGACTCCTAACACGCCCCAGAGACACCAGTCGTGAAAAGCAGATCAAGGGCTGCACTGAAGGGAACATTCACATATTAGAGAAGAAACTTCCAAGCTACAGCCAGGGCCATACAGCCTAGGCAGCGAGACAAGGTGCCGTGCTACAGGCCTGGGCTCAAGCTCTGGGTACATCCTTGGAACGGAAGGTTTCTTTTACCACTTCAAAACATTTCAGGCATTTACCTCCCTTCTTTGTAAATGCAGATCCAGTAGTTTCTTGCCCTGTAGGTAAAAGGTCTGCAGTTCTTCTCTAATAAGCGCTTCTTAAGCGGTTACATTATAACAAGCAGCCTAAGTATCAGTATTTTACTGGACCAAGACAGATACTCAAGAATCCTAAGCCTCATGGCCCAGACTTTGTGTCAACTCTGCAAAACCTGCTGTGAGAAGAGATGAATTTTGCTTCAGCTGTCTCTTCCTTTCTGCCACCCACCTGCAGCTCAGGGCTGCTGCTCTTTTCACGGTGCACACACCGCTCACAAGCTTCTGTAGCTACTGAAAATTTTCCTATCGTGCCAGAATATACAAGGCTGTCATTTGGATAAAGCCTCTCCTTCCTCCTTAAAGCCAATCTTCCTACAGAGCCAGAGCTCTAGAAAGTCTGAATCAAATAGTTATTTGGCAGAGTTCAGGAAAACCACAGTTCTGGAGATCTGCTGTGTCATATCCCAGAACACCATCCCCAGTGGGGACCGAACTTCTGCCCCAACTCCACCTTACAAGAGCCCTCCTTGCAAAAGTCACAAAGAGAGGTATAAGGACCGGCCCTATGGACTTCAGTTTTCATAGTGCCTTATTGGAAGAAACCAGTGGCACTTTAAAGACTGTGAATATGCTGTTGAATATTTTGAAAAGACATATTTAAAACTTAATTGTAGATGAGTAAGCTTGAGCTAATATTAAAATGTTCAAAATGTCTCAGCTATTGCCACAGCATTGTTAATTTTGGAATACTGGCCTTGCAATCCATTTGCCAATCAATAATAATATCCTTTTATTTGCAGCAAGTACAACTGAAGAGATTGAATTGGAAACCATTGAGTGTTAGCCAAGGACTGTCTCATAACAAAAATAACAATTCTACCTCAGGAGAAACTATTGGCAAGGAAAGCGAGAAGAAACCTAAAAGGTAAAATGTTTGTGACTGCTGTAGAAACATCCTGACTTGCAAAGCTAATTAGACATGAAAGCAGCGATGTCTGATGGGGCTGCTTTGACCTGTTAAGATTTCAGCTCTGCTAGCCAAGGTCAAAGGAAAAAAAGAGTGCGCTTTCATGCTGAGCAGGAACACATTTTTGTGGCTAATTAATAAAATCTACAGCCTCTACCATTCTTGCAACCGACCAACCACCCAAGCCTCTAAGATCAACCCATAAAGGAAATGATCATGGTCTTGGACACCTGTATTTTAGCTACAGCAAGTCTCCTATTACAGACAAAGCAGCCATTAGCATCCTTCAACATAATAAATTTAATGTCTAATTACAGTATTACATTAAAAAATTAATTGCAAGGATTGAATCCTGTTTATTGTGCCTATGCTGCTACTTTTGGGCATAAAGAATTTCCTGAAGCTCTGAAGACAAACTGTAATTCTGCATGAGACAAAACTGACTTCGAAACAATGCCAAGCTGGTCAAAGTTCCCCCACTTAAGTTTCCAATTGTTTACACTGCCCCAGGATATTAACACACATTTTATGACATTACTGGAGAAGGTTGTTCGATGAGGAACTACACACAGGCACTGAAGAGGACACTGTCTATAATGATCAGTGGGGTCAGAAAAAATATGGACAATGTCACACCAGTGGGGTGGCAAAATACTAAGCAGCTTCACTGTGAACGATGTCGAGTCCTTTGCAAATATAGCCCACCAATGAATATCCATCTGCGAAGGAAAGTTAAACAGCATTACTTTGAAATTTAGTATCTAAAAATACAGTTCTGAAATTGCTCTTGTTGATAAGTCGCCTTTGCTTTCCTATGTTGTAAGAAAACATGAAGTGATCTGACTAGTGTTTTCTCAAATCTGCATATCACACATATTTTCCACTTGCATATCTTCTGGGTGGAATAACATTTGCTTTTGTGAGTGAGAAAGCACTAAACTGACCAGGCTTCAACTTATCCTGTTTTGGTTTTGTAAAGAGAATTTTGCAGTGTGAAATAAACTTTGCATGTGTAAGAGACCACGGACTAGTCTGTGTCTGCAGATTGCCTCCTGGCTTTTGGAGCTGCCCTGCTGCTGCTGCCTCTCTCACTTGTTTGCATGAGGCTTTTACAGGACAGGCTGACAGAGCTTCCCCACTGGTCAGGGACTGCAATGCTCAGGGGCAGAGGTACGACAGGTTAGACAGGGAAAAACAAAAAATTTCTCACCAAGTGCCTAGCCATGCAAACAGGCTTTTCCCAAAGCACCCTGTACACAGTACTTCTAAAGTCATCCCCGGATTGAACTGGCGACGTGCAGTACCAAGCGCCTCTCACTCATGCATGAATTTGGGTACCAGCTTCAGCTGGTTGCTCCTTCCTGCATCTAGGATAAGAGGTCAAAAAAGGTGAGAAATTAAAAAAAAAAAAAAAATCCCAGCTACAGCACAGCTCAGCAAAGTAAATTTGTTCTAATTCTTCACTTTAAGTACACATTACCAGTCTTCTGTATCTTTGAGTGAATTAAGCTTTGACAACACAGAGGAAGCTGAAAACGTGTCTGTTTTAATCACCAAGCTTGAAGTATTCTGTAAAGTATCCATAAAGCATATGGAAAACATTACTAAATTGTGTTTTTTTTCTGTTTATCTGTTCCAGATAATTTTTATTTTTAATCCCTAAATCCTAGAACTTGAACGTGAAGTTATGCATTAGGTTGAGCTGAGTACATAGCAGGTACGCTGCCAGACTTACTGAGAAAGGAAAAAAAAATGCAGCTGACATGTAACACCATTATTATCTGCTAACATTGACCCAAATACTGTAAATTGTCAAAATCAGGAAATGCACACAGCCATGAATGACCATTTGAACGCATGGCTGTAATTGTAGAGATCACTTACACTTTTAAACGACAACATTGGAAAGCTGCGATGAAAGCAGGAGGAAATGAGCACTTCAAATTCTGCCATTTAAGATGCGCTGTAACAGCAGCGAGAAGTTTCCAAGTAGCACAGTTCTTCACCTCTCTCAGCGTGGCCAAAGCTACAGCAACTTCAGACACCCATCTTTGGCTATTGCCGCTGGTGCCAGCCTCGCTTTTAGACAGCTACGTCCCAGATGAACAACGGGCATTCAAACAATACTCAGTGAGGCCATACGGCACAGTCAGCCCGTGTCCTGCTTCCCTTACAGACAATTCCTCACCCACAAATTTTACCCAGAATTTAACATGCTTACTCTACATGGTTAGAGTCACTTGTAAAATATTCACATTTTCTGAAACTGATGTTTGTCAATATGCATTATTAATCTCAATAACATTGATACACAGAACATGAGGCTGAGATGCCTGCAGCAGTTTCTTGCTACACTGGAGGTGCCTGAAGTATCTAAAAATCTTACAGCAAGCTGTTAAAGTGGAAGTTTAGAAACTAATAGTTACTCTTACTCCAGTTCTAAACTCCATGCAAAACAGCAGCAAATTTAATATTTAGAGCCTTCCATGTAATCAAAGGGATTGAGGCATTTTGCATTTAAACTTTAATTAAAGAGATGTCCAGGTTCACAAGATTGCTTTGGCAATCAATTGTAAAGGTCTTAATCATCCACTAATGTCTTCATTTCATGTTCAAAGATGCACTACCAAGAATTTCAAGACTGTCCCTCCGCTAGATGCCTAATAAGTCTGTTTTCCATTAAAATTAGGAATCCCTGTGTATTCCACACTAAAAGACACCAGGTCCCAAATAATCCTTTTTCATTTTTTTTTCCCAGCTCGGCCTGGAAGTCTTGACAAATATCTTCGCTGTTAATGTGCAGTGCTTGCACTTCTGCAACACCCAAGAAGTCCTCTTGCATCCATTGTTCTTTCTAGAAAGGAACAAGTCCTGCAACTATGAGATCCTAATAGCTCCACAGCAATCCTATTTCTTGGCAATGATGAACTCACTTGACAAGAAGGCTATTGCTACACGCAGACCTGTCAATTTAGGTTAAGAACAGTGAAGTGTAAAGACACGTTTAACTTTCACATGCTCATCTTCTAATTATTAGCAAGAGCAGATTTGTTGTGTTGCTAAAACAGCCTCATATAATCAGATGCACAGAAGCGTCAGGCTGCTGGCTGAACTCTACACCAAGGACCAAAACCCCTCTCTGCCTGGAATCATCTGGTGCCTGCTAGCCAAGCAACGCAGGACCTGGCAGCACAGGCATTGCCTAAGATTCAACCATCTTTCAAGATGAAGAAACTATTTTCAACTAGTATTTTTTCATTTTTGTAAGTTGGCTTGGGTAGCTCACCAGAATCCAAAAGGAAAGCCCTTTCCCTTCCATAGTTCAGATGCACAGAAGCAAGCCCTTCAAGGAACCAAAATAAGAAGATGTTCTACACTGGCAAACAGCGACGTAAGTACAATAGCTTCGTTGGATACACACTCTGCAGCAGCTTGCCACAAGCAGTTGCTTAATACAGATTTCCTACAACTATTTTTTATTGCTCAGGAATACAGCAAAATAACAACAGTCACCATACAAATATGATGTTCAATTTAAACATGTTCTATGTGCAAGTTCTCATATATATATATATACATGTATATACACACTTCATAACACACAATATGGACATAAGTCTGAACCAGTTCATACAGACAGGTTTCAAAAAGACCTTTAGCAATTAATCATCAAACAAAAGAAAAGTGTTGTGCAACACCTTAGTAGAAGCTTCAAGGCTACAATTACAACCAAAAAAGACAAAACCACAACCTTTTTATTTTAAAAGAACTCAAAAGAGCTGATCTTCAGGGAGATGATATTGTTTCCCTGGATGATAATCAGTGATAGTGCAGACACAAAAAAAACCCAAACCCAAAAAAAACCCCGAACGGCACAAGTGTGGAGGTCCAAGGTCTACTGCATGAGTTACCTGTTTCTATCCAGACAGGAATGTACAAAAGCCACCCACAAACCCAAACTGTCAGAATTCTGCAAGCAGAGCAAGACCCTTTCCTCTACATGCTTACAAAAAACAAGGACAGAAAAGGCAAGCAAAGTAACCGACACCACACAGGCTCATCTATAAGCATCAGAGGAAAGATGTCTGCAACAAACTGTGACTTCTTAATGCTCTCAACTTAAAACAGATCGTCAAGTAAATATCTCTCTCAAAAAGAAATGGGTCACCCAGAAGCCACTTCAATACAGTTAACACAAACCAACCCCAACTCAAGGACATCACCCAGTGAAGACTCTTCCTTGAATCTTAAGTTCTGTTTAGCCTTAATTCTTGACAACAGAGCTCTGCTTCTCCTCTTTTGTCACACTTCTAATCAAGCAAGTCCATTAGCTTCCACAAGGATCACCATTCCCTGTGGTATTGATAGCACAATTCAATTCTAGTAATTTTCATCTTTCAAAAATACTTGCAAAGATCTACTGGGAAAACGTAGGGGCACAAGGGGAAAGGGAATGACTCTGAGCAGACACCTTTCATGTAGCAAAGGACAGCTGAATTCACTCAGCCATCTTACTCTGTCTAGAGCAATCTGCCAAGACACAGCTGAAAGCAACTTCTCTAAAAAACTGTATTTTATATGTCATTGAAAAAAAAGTTTTATTACAAACACTACAATGGACATATCTGTACAGGAAATAAATTTGCGTTTGCTTTCTTGTATTGCCCCATAGGTTCCATTTCCCATTGCTGCATGGGCAGTGATCGTTCGCAGCACAGCAATGATTCAATGCCCCACTGGAGAGGCTGACAGATCATTAGCACGGAGTTAGGGCGGCCATGAGGAGTTCCATTTTATACACAAAGTTACGCCCTTCCATTTTATTCCACTGCACTTCCTTGAACGGCCCTCGAAGATGATTCCACTTGTTGTCTTGCAGAACATCGCCTTTGGGGAGATCCTTGCACTGACTCCGTGGAAACTGAACCATAACTTTGCTGCCGCTTTCTGGACCATTACGTACTGTGATGAACAGAGATTTTTATGAGCATTTTTATGCTGCAGGAATTCCCCATACTAAATATCCTCCCTCATGTATGATTGATATACATATATATATATATATCTCCTACTCAATTCCAAATATGCTGAAAGCAAACGAGGATTTTTTTTTTTTTTTTAAGTTTTTCTCTTTGAATTTTCTCTCTCTCATCTCCCACTTCTCTATGATTTTGTTGCTTTAGTAATGCATGTTCTTGGTTAGAGCAAACCAGAGAAACATTTGACAAAAACACCAACAAGTACACTTTACAAATGCATTTCTTTTTCCCTACTGATGCCAGGAAGGGCAAAGTGGTTTTTACTGATTCTTACCTTGGATGTATTCCCCACCATTCTGTTAAAAAACATGATCAAAAAGATATTGCTTTTAGTGGATTTTTCTCAAATGGACAGGGATGAAGTCACTCAGAATAGCTGTTGCTTTTAATCACAAAATCCTGCAAGACTGCTGAAGGGGTGGTGGTGTTCTGTTGCCTTGGATGGGTGTTTGTGTTTTGATGTTGGGGGGTGGCGTTTGTTTTTTAAATAAGCAGTTAGGAAGAGAACACTTAGCTTTCCCCTCATCTACCAAGCTAGCCTTCTACAGAGAGATGACTGTCAGGCTGATTGAACATAATTTCTCCTTCATAAACTGATGCTGACTATTCCCCATCACCTTCTTGTCCTTACATTTGGAAACTGCTTCGGGGACTGTTTTTTTGCCTCTTCTTCCCAATAATAGCAACGAGGCTGACCAGACTGTAGTTTCCCAGATTCTCCTTCTTGAATTTAAGATGTGACCATCTGCTTTCTTCCAGTCCTCAGGAACCCTTCCTGATCACCATGAGCTTTCAAAGATGATCATGAGTGGCCTTACACTCCCTCAGCACTCAGGGATACATCCCACCTGGTCCCATGAACTTGTGTATGTCCAGTTTGTTCAAAGGTTCTCCAACTCTATCCTCCTCTACTGAGAGCAAGTCTTCTTTGCTCCAAAATTTCCCGTGGGTCTCAGGGACCTGGGATTCCTAAAGGCCAGTCTTAAGACCAAAGCAAAGAAAGCACTGAGTACCTTGGCCTTCTCTATGTCCTGTACCACCAGGTCCTCTCCCCATCTAACAGCAGGCCCACAGTTTCGTTATTCTTCCTTTTGCTGCTAACATACCTGTTGAAGCTCTTCTTGTTGCCCTGTACGTCCCTCACCACATTCAACTCCAGATGGGCTTTAGCTTTCCTATCCCCATCAATGCATCCCTGGACAGTCTCTCTATCTTCCTCTCAGGTCAATTGATCCTGCTTATAATCTCCTGCAGCTTCCTTTTTATGTCATGAATTTAGTCATGAGCTCCCTGTTCATCCACACAGATCTGCTGTCACCTTTGCCAAACTTCCTGCACATAGGAATGACCATTCTTGAGCTTGAGAAAAGTGATCCTTGGGAAAAAAAAAAGAAGTCAACCAGCTCTCTTGGACCCCTCTTCTCTCCATCCCATAGAATGGTATCCCACAGGATTCTTCCAAGAAGATCCCTGAAGAGACCAAACTCTGTTCTCGTTAAGTCCAGAGCTGCAATCCTGTTGTTTGCCTTCTTCCCTTCTCTCAGGATCTTGATGGTTTTTATAATCTATTTTTTCTATGCTAATTCTAAGAAATATTTTCAAGCCTGTGTAAATTAAACAGGTTTATATTAAGTGGCTTACTGGGCAAAGTATTGATTCTATTTAAATGTCAATTCCATACACAAAAAAGAGATTGTTTCTAGAATATTTTGCTATAAATCGTCATTTTTCTATAAAAGTCTAGAGACTACCTCAGAAAGGGACTTAAAAAGCTTGTAAAATTCACTTAGGAATTTTAGGATTTTCCATACGTTTGCAACAGAAAACACTACCTGAAATGGCATAGTCTCCATTTGGTGATGCTACAGTTATCGCTGATGCATTGCCAATACTCTCCACTGGCCCCAGACCAACGTGATTACTGAAACTCAGCACGTGCCATCCCATAACTTTGGCAAGCTGCTGGACTGCATGTACTTGGTGCTGTGACATCTGAAAGATAACAAAAGGTCGGCTTCTGTTCAATATTTGCACACCACAGCAATAACTGCTTCCTGGTCTTACCAAGCTTTTTTTCTTCTACCGTACAGTATCTATTTATAAAAGTGACTTTGTCATGTAAGTTCTATAGTTTCAGAGGAACTTTTTTTTTTTTTAACATATATGCTATGTAAGTGCTAGTACAGCTTTGTGTTGTTAGAATTTAGACTAGTTCCTTTACAGACAGAGAAGACCACTGTATTAATCACACTGCAGTTAGATTAATTTTTCAGAGGCATATGGCCTTATGCATTTTCTTTAAATATTGATTTCAATTTACAAAAACCTTTATTTAGGTCTCAAGAACTAATTCAAGTGATACAAACAGGATTTTAAAATAATCCTTTCTTTAAATGGAAGTGAGACTTCTGCTGTAAAATATATCAAATCTGTGAGAGTATTATATATATATTATATATATCATAGCAAACTCAGGAAAATAAGAAGTTGAGGTTCTCAGATGCATGATTATCTCCATTAATGCTCAAGTGTAAGCATTGAGCTTAAAAGTTTAAATGCTAATGTTTAGCTATATCAGGACTTAACACTTGTAACAAGGAAGTATCTAGCACTATTCAGCAGTTCTCTGTGGGCAAGTCTGAGAACACTTGACCAAAAAGATACCCTCAGCAGAATCTGTTTCAACTTGTCTTCCGTGTCGTGGAGTTTTGTGTAACTGCAACAAGCCAACCACTGTTATTCAAGACCTATATTTTGACTATTTATAATGCATAGTAGGGAGACTGTCACTTGTGACTAAAACCAGCAGCTTGCTCTAAGCAATTAAGAAAACAAAGTTCATTCAAATACCAGTTGATTTAGTAATGGCTGATGCAAAGTGAACACTAACAAGACAATGTTGAAATGACAGTAATTGTGGGCTCATTAAGATCTCTAGACAGGACTTGGTTACAGAAAGTTTCATATATTGAATATCTTATTGTCTCTCACTGACATGTTCTTGAAGTAAGCAAAAATCTTAGTGCTCCCACAATGAGTAGCAGAAATGTATTTTAAATGGGAGGGAAAAATTATTATTACTACTGACCTTAGTAATAACTGGCATTATATTTTAGTAACAGTTGCTAAAGTCACTATACAAACATACTGAAAAATTCAGTCATCCACCTTCCTATTTTCACTATCTTTAAGTTTTCTAACATTTTCTACACAGATAAAGGTTAGTTTCTAACTTATTCTGTTTCCCAAACACTACAAGAATAATGCAGATGAGTTTACCTGAGATAAAAGGAAATCCTGCAGTTCTTGCTCTTGATGGGACAATGTAATAACTCTTCCATCTCTATGCACAACTCTGATCTGTTCAACTCCGATGTTCAGCTGTAGTTGAATGGATCTTCGAAGACAAGATGCATATTATTCAAAATGCATTACAACACTTAAGAAAACAGGGAACTAAGAACACAGAATCCCTCTCATTCATTGACAAGAACTCTAAGATGAGGATGGTACAAAGCCTATGGAATACAACAGCAACTCCAAACATTTCAGTTTCATTGCTCACAACAACAGCTCCCTCTATACTGCAGGGGACATACTCCGTTGCATGTTCCCAGACCTGGTCCACTGCTTGTTCAGGTCAAGGAATCTCCTGAGGTGCCTCACAGCTCCCTGCCTGCCACTGTGCCCAAGTTTCCTTCCAGAGGTGCAGGGGAAACCGGTATGTACTCAGGACCCATTCTATCCTACAGCCAAGACTTGGGCAGCACATGTACTCTGGAAGTGAGCCTGCAAGATACACCAATGACCGCAGTTGCTCCTGCTCTACACTGTGGACACAGCCAGAGAGGACTGCTCAAAATGGAAAAAACAACTGGTTCATCTACTGTCAATGCATTAGTTAATTCACTGCTGGTCAGCATGCAGAAGTTCATTTCTGGAACATGAAATCTCTTATATTGATGACAACATGCCTAACTAATAGCATGAATTACGTGAGTTCCACATTTCAGTACCTATGCAACCAAGCCAGGACTGAGCACAGACTAGCTCTCCATGATCAGACTGGAAGTTTAGAATCCAGCACATACAAAGATACTTTGGATAGAGATAGCTGAATATAAAGTAAATTCCCCCTTAAATGGCCACTTTCACCTTCAATTCCTTCTTTGAAAGGAAACTGTGCTAGTTAATGACTTACTAAGTTTCTTCATTAAAGTGTAAAGTGTGCAAAGGGTTTTCTTAGGGTAGCTGTTCCCCCCCCCAACTCAGAGAAACACTCACACACAACTAACCAGCTCCTACTTGTCTGTCTGAAGAGAATCTACACCTGTGAAACACAACTTGAATATGCTCTGCCACTGCTGCATGCTTCTACAACTAGAAAGACACAGGCATTTTCATACTTACTTGCATATCTGTTCATATCCTTGAGAAGTTATTAGAACTTTAACACTGGATTCATAAACATCATTTATATTGGACCAGTGGGCCTGAATCTGAGGATCCTCAATGCGGCTAGCCAGACTGTCAATGGTTCGAGCAGTTCTAGAAGACAAAGACATACTCCATGCACAATAATCTAGACGGTTTGTGCTGTTATCTTATTTAAAGGAAATGAGTAGGTTATTAGCTTGGGGGGGTGGGAGTGGCAGCCCACACACACACAAAAAAAAAGCAAATTTAACAAAGATATGTGTATCAAAGTTCTATTTCAGAACTATTCTTGTGCTAACGAAGCACACTCATTTACTCTGTACATTTCACATACATTCTGCAGCAGTACTGAAGTATCAGCTACTGCACAGCAAAAAATACTAAAAAAGATTTATGCAGTTTAAGAAAAGTAGGGACAATTATCAGCAGCCTATGTCATTATTGGCAGCCTACTGTCACAGAGATCTCAAAAGAAATCCGATTTCTTTTCTTTTTTTACTGAGTATTGTTTGCTCATATTTCATGATACGTTATCAGTACTTAGTACTTACAAATAAAGACTATTTTAAGAGTGAAGGAAGAACTAGATAGTTTTAAGAACACTAAAAAAAGGTCAGTTGTTTTCTTCATAATGGTACATTTTATTCTCATTTTAACAAGAATAGCTTATGACCTACCTGCGTCTCAAAAAGATATGTTTTGCCTGCTTTATTATCTTTTCCAGAAGTCCTTCATTGGACTGTAAGGCACTGATATCATTTTTATCAAAAGCCTGAGGTCCTGCAAGTCTCATTCTCTTATGGCCAAAAGGGGCACTAGCTGGATGTGGCATTACTGTTGAGCTCAGGGTTTGCTTGTGACACTGCAACGAACAACAGAGGTTATAAAAAGAAGTGACCAAATAACATTATCTGAAAGAAATAATATGTATACTACAATATGTTGCTTCACATCAGGCTTTTTACGGGTACATACTTTCAAAAAGTGCAACTTCTTTACTTTATAAACTTGACAGCACTTTAAAGCCAGCTTTACACTCATACTTTGCCTCCCCTGCTTATGCAGGCCTTTCAAACCTTAAGGAAAGTGATTTTTAAAAAATGGTGCTAGCTAACAAAAATTTGCAGTATGGCAGTAGCTCCTACTAAGTCTGCCTTGTGCACATCTCTGGAGACAGACAGAATGGTCAAACAAAAATAAAGGAAGCATTTTAGAGATAAAAAATTGAGGTACAAAAAGTTTTAGCAACCTGTCCAAAGTCAAGAAACGAAATTCACAACAGAGCTAGCTGGGTGCTCAGACAAAGCTTCATGAAACCCAGTTCAGTGTTTAAAACACTAGGTTATTCCACATGACTGCAGGACTTTCAGAGCCATGCTCTAAGGAGATGAACACTCTCTGGAACACTGTTTTACAACTGCTTAGACATCTAAAATTGTGCTTTCCTGAACTGACGCAACCTCAAACTTCTGCCTCAGGTCTTTCTGCTAGATTATATGAGAATCCAAAACACTGAGGCACAGAAGTGGACCTCAAAAGAAACAAAGTTTTTATGGTAATTGATTGTTTTCTTCATGAGAGTACGGTCTGAACAGATGCTCACTTAAAGTACTTGACAAGCACTAACTAGACACAAAGAAAAAAGGGAGATGAGCTGTACTGGAAAAACTTTGTATTGCTCTTCTGAAGCCAGGCCTGAGGTTAAGTAAAGAGCTACTAGCATTCTTTACTTAGTAAAGAACTCCCTAACCAGCCATACATACTAAAACTGAACAGTAGGTTGCCTTACACAAATGCATAGAAAGTGACTGGCCTCTAGTGGCACTCTGTTGTTACAACAGTGCTGTACACTGTGTAGAAGCCTGAACAAAAGCTCAAAGACCTTTTTATACTTGATCGTAAATGCATTACCTCTCTGATAAGTTGATGCAAATTATGTTCCAGAACATAGAGATGATCCTCTGGATTCTGTTTTTCGGAAGCAGACTTCTGTGATTTTTTGTCATTGGAAGAGTGACACAGAGAAATAGACAACTGCAAACCTGTACAAAGCAGATTAAAAAAAACATGAGGATACTGAGAACTGCCTTATCTACATGTTTTATAGTCAGCAGTTTTACCACCAGTATTCACTATATCAGAGAAAAACCAAAGAATGATGTTGGCAAGCAGAGCACCAAAGGCAAGTAAGACGCTACTCACTCAAGTGTTGACAAGACAACTAAATCACTAGGTGCATTTCGCACCAATTTCTATGACTCAAGCCGACACAAAAAGAAGAGTCCCCAGGACCCCATTCTTTCCCCAAAGAAGGAATGATTTACCATCATATAAATTTTAAGCAATCCAGAAACATATTCTTCACATAATACACAGTTGTGTGCTCCCTGTAAGAACAGAGGATTCACCAGACAACTCTGAGCCATGTTCATGCTGTTTAATTATCCCCATTGATAAGCATTAGCATCCGTTCCTCTGAAGACCCATTAACTCAAGTCTTAAATTTCACCTGCATGCAATCCAGGAGCAATGACTTACACACAGCTCCAAAGTTCAATGTGCACATGGCATTACAGTTGACAGCTTTAAGTGCTACTGGCAAAACACACAATCCCAAAGAAAAACAATCCAGAATGCACACAACAAAATATGAGTAAATTAGAAACTAAAGTGCATTAGTTGAATTTTTCTGTAGTTAGCAAGAAATATTAAAATTCTAGGAAATTGTGTTTTTCCAAAATCTTCGAAAACAAGATTACTTCCTCCCCGCCCCTTTCCCCAAATTTCAGTTCATATTTAAGCAAGTAATTGTAGGTTAAGAAGACTTTAGAAGTTTCCTACCTGGGAAAGGCTGGGAGATTATCTGATTTTTCACAACAATGTGAGGAATTTGTGATTTAATTTGAACAGCCTCTCGTGACAGCTGGGCAAAAATTTCTTTACATAAAAGAACATTCTGTGCAGTCTCCAGCTTTGTCTGCCAGTGTGGAGAACCTGAAAAATATAAATCATCATTTGCAGAAGGAAAGAGTAAAAAGAAGCTAGAAAGGTAGCTTCAGATACCAGATACTGTGCAGTAGCTATGAGCAATTGCCAAGATACAGTAGTCAGTATCTTCTATTGAAATTGAGTATTTTCTGAATTTTATCTCAGTGAAACAAGCACTTTAAGATAACACTAGTGCATTTTATTTCTATTTTACATATAAGTATATTGTGAACTGCACCTCCCTTCTGGAACTGCCTACTACATTCCCAGGTCTTTTGTGAACTCTTGCTTATGAAGCCCTGCTTCTTAAGTTGCAATTTCCTTTCAACAATACTTGTAACTATTAAATTCACTCTACAACGAACCACCAAATAACGTTAAATACATGTACATGCTTTCACAGGATTTATAGCCCCAAAATTCTTGGAAGATTCAGGTCTGAGTAAGTACACAAGCTCTACACTGTACCCTGAATACCACATGCAACATCTACTTAACAGAATATCCTGTCTATGCTGAAGACAGCACAAGCATGTGTCACAGATTACTGTGAAATAAAATCCTGACAGTTCTTTTTAAAGCTAAGGAGCTAATAATGAATTTTTAATCCCAAAGTTTTACATCTTCAGATATTGTCCCATGTCAAATTAATCAAGCTACTATATGCCAGCTATGCCCTTGGTAATTAATGCACATGCTGCCAGCACACTTTCAGATTCAGAGAAAACATACAAGCCACAGAAACAAATTATTTTTTTGGGCAAAGACAAGAGTGAATAGACGTTTAGTCCAGTTGAGCCACAATACTTTGGTTTGCTTTTGGCTATGTGCTCAAACTCTTAACGCCTAACAAAAGGTGCTCCAGAATACCTAAAATACAATCCTAGTAATTTTATTTTAGAAACTGAGTGAACACTTATGAAAAACTGAAGGAATACACTTTGAAAGCACCACCTTTCCAAAGTCCAGGCAGCACCTCCATAGAAAATTTGTTTAAATAAGAATATTCTCATTCACTCTTCTTTCAAGCTAGAATTTTCAAATGAACATCAGATGCAAACCCATTTCTTGAGAATGTACTCAGAAAACAACATATAGCTAGCTATACCTGGTTTTGATTTTGGCATGGGTCTTTTAAAAAGATTGACTGTCCCAAGGTCACCAATGTCTGGAGCTTGTTTCTGAATAGAAACCTAGGCAAAAGAGAATGTTATTTCATGTTTGTTCTTTCTTGCAAGCATACAAATAACAAAACAAACCCCATGCTGTATTATTAAAGTCTCTCTGACAAACCTTTATATAGGCTGATCCTTCTAAATCACTTGGAATTTGAACATCCAAAGGACAGTAATCCTCAGGTATCTTTTTATCCAAGTCAATGTCAGTGTTCTTTATCACCTCAAATGTGCCGTGATGAAGAAAAAGGGAGCCTAAAAAAGGAAGAACAAAGACACGCACACCATAAAGCATCTTCTGCAAATAATGAAGTTCATACCTCCATTTTGGAAGAATATGTATTTCTAAGTCTTTGAACCTCCATAGCTGTGCTTGACTCAAATTTCTTGCGGAATTCTTAAAAAACCAGGCAAATTAGAAAGCTCATTTCAGCACATCAGCATCTGAGTCCTTCAGTGTGTGATGTGTAACATTTTTCAGTAAGTTAGCAAGTAGTATGTAGTAGTTATGGGAGAAAACCAACAGCATTTCAAAATGGCGTCAGCAGAAACAGAGAAGGAGAAATAAAGGTATTTGGTTAAAACAAGACAGAATTTAACTGCCTGAAGTTTTGCAAGCAAGTAGCTTAAGGTGCAATACCCCTACTGATTTAAAGGAATGCTGCTGATGTTTGGCTTGAAGTCTATGAACTATGACAGTGTTCAGTCTGTGAAAGCCAGCCATACAGCCAGTCACTCAGGTGGGATCAACAAAGGCACACGCCCACACCCGTCCCAGCAGTATCCCCTTTACATCCAGGGCACGGTTCATCTAGTTTAGGATAAATCATCTAAAGAGAGATGTATCCTGGGTTACATCTACAGCTTCTTCATGAATACAAGATTAAAAACCCTACATTTGACAATGATGACAACGGGAGCCCAATGCAACCAGGTGAGATGCTTGCTTTGTACCTACACCTTAAGTTTGTTGAGATTCTATATTCACTCCTTGACTCCATAATTGGCTCTAGAACTCTGGGCTGGTTACCCTCTCCCACTGTAATCCAAGAAATAATGCTATTTTCAATATCGTGTCTCACAATTGTAGGAATAATAGGTATAATAGATCTGCCTTCACTCAGAAAAAAAAACGCAACATGCTCCTCAATCTTTTAAAAATGCTTTACAGACCAAATGTAGATAAAACCCAAAGATTTACAAGGTCTACCTGGCAACTGATCTGGCACTGTCAATGCAGAATTGCTTCTGTAAAGGAATCTTTACTGTAATCCTACACAGTCAGCTTTTAAAATCACTTTCTGGGTTGAGAATGGCAGGATATTTTCCCTGATAATAAAACAAGTTTCCTCCTTTTATGATTGTCTTGTAGCTATAATAGTATTTTATTACCTGATATTATGTTATTAAAAATATTCCATCTGTTTGCCCAGTTAGAAAAAAAAAATTGTTTGTAAAATATAAATATCCATTCTTGAGAAAAACAAAAGACCCTACTGCTTACCTGCACTTCTGTAGCTCAGGTCGCCAAGAATTTTGTCTCCCACTTTTCTCAGCTTCCAATGTTGCCTCAGTCTTAGCAGTTCAGAGTTGAAGTCTCTTTGTCGCTTATTTTCCTGGTTTTCTGCAACTGATTTGGATAATCTTTCTGCACCTTTCAACAGGATTTGAGCTGCTCCAGCCAATGACTTCTTTTTTGAAATCAACTGTAGAAACTGAGGATTCTAGTAACAAATAAAGACAAAGACTTCTTGTAACTTAGTTCTCCCAAAATTATTATTAGCGGAAGCAATTGACAGTGACTGATAACTTAGTTTTGCTGGATGTTCAGTAACTTATTTAGAGCAACTTTCATGACAATACTATATAGCCACAGGTAGCATTTTAAGTTACAGCTTCAGCAAAGAGGTATCTGAAATCAGCCTCCCCGTGACCCATAAAGCTCTGTACCAGCACATCACAAGGAACGCTTTACTAAATCTTGTACGTATTGTGCATGAAAAAACTCCAGCAAAACAAAATCTTTAGCATCAAGCCATAAAAACTACACAACTAGGTATAATATACCTGTTTTGGAGGAAGGGGATCCTGCACAACTGGATCTAGAGTCATGAACTTTTTATCCTTGACGATACTAAGAACATCATACAACACACACATCTCAGTCAAGGCGCTTCTTAAGTTGTTCCTCACTGAATCCCAAGGCCAGAGGGATGGCTGAAACTTTACCAACCCTAAAAATAAAACAAAAGAATGAAAGACAAAGGACTGCAAAAAGAGACGGTGTACGGCTCATTCTTAAACCGCAGAGAGACCGTAAGGGCACGACATACAACGTAACAGCACGATATCCGGATCTGTGCTTTCCCGCTCTACCACTGTAATCTGCTGGGCCTCCGTCACGAACACCCTGGCCCTTTCCCCACGGCCAGCCGCGGGAACCC